TCTACATTATTAGAAGCGGAAGTCTCCAACAAACGCCGGTTCTAGCATATTCAATTGAGAAGAAACATATTCATCTAATAATATTTTTAATATCAAATTACATGGAAAAAAAATAGTCAAATTAAATTTTTTTGCATAATGCTAAACTCAATTACCGAAAAAGTTCACGATAGTATTTTTGACGTATCTAAGAATAATAATTACGAAGGGATGACTTAATTTTTGTGGGATCTATTAATTTTCTGATAGATTCAAGTAGAAGGATGAAAATCGTTCACTTTTAAATATTTGGAGGATGTTATATGCTAAGAATATGTCACGACCCAAAAATGGATGTGATGGCACTCGTCTTATCCCACTAAGACAAGTCAGCCTAAAACTCAACCATTATAATAAAATGCGGAAATTTTATAATCAACTAAAAAATACCTCCAAAATCTGGTTGTCACGTGTTCAATACTCTAAAGTATTACAATGGATTCAAAAGAAAACACAAGTCTAAAATGACATTGTTTCTAGAATAGAACAAGATCATAAATAGGAGTAAGAAGGTCTGGTGAGTTGACAAACAACTACCTCACAAATCTCCAAGAAGCCTCGGAAAAGAAGAGAATATATCACAAAGGTTCGGGCTAGTAACCTACAAAAAAAATATGTAGTAGCAAGGGGTGAGTACCAAACCACGCGGTACTCAGCAAGTAAACCTCTAAACACAAGCTAAGGGGATAGAATACGAGTACTCCTTACACCCCAACCGAACCTCCACAACTACAACATGCATAAAATCAGCCCAACCTAACAGTTCACAATTCACATAGCACATATCTCAACAACAACATTCTAACAATCACATATTTTCAACAACAAGCTCAATATTCGTCAATTACAATCTCCACGACTACAACCTGCTTAAAACCAGCCCAACCTAACAGTTCACAATTCAGATAGCATATATCTCAACAACACTCTAACAATTACATATCCTCAACAACAAGCTCAATATTCACCAATCAAAGTTCCACAGAAAGGCACTCACAAGATCAGCAAAACACGATATCAAGTTCACTAATGATAAATATGTGCAATGCAATGGAATGCAATGTCAAGTATAGTGATGCATGTCTGACCTAGTGATACACACCCACTGTCTCTCGGTCTGGGACCCATGGGGGACATATCTGTCCATGCATCCATCACGGCGCGCGATACGACTCTCGATAATAGTAACCATCGCGACGCGCGATACGTCCCTCGAAATATAGTATCTATCGCGGCGAGCGACACGTCCCTCGAAATATAGTATCCATTGCGGCATGCGATACGTCCATCGAAATGGTACATCCTCTTTAATTTCTTATTTTTTCTCAATTCACGTAACACTTGTCACAACCATGTCTCAGAACAATACAAATAACATGTTCACACAAATAATGAGGAGATGACCATTTTCATAACATTGCACAATTCACAACAACACAATCATGATACGACATCAACAATGATTCAACAAACCTTTCAAACCATTCTCAACACATCACAAACAATTAAGCACATTGCCTTTTATTACCCCTTATTCATCATTAGAATTAATCAATGTGGACAAGTCAACCCATCACTAAGTCTCATTACCCCCAAACACATATTACAAGGAAATACACGAATTCCATACACTTAACAAGGGTTTAGAAATCCACTTGCCTGAATCAAATAAGAATTTACCCCGGGACTTGAGCCTTCCCCTTTCGTTGAACTTCCAACTCAAAGCAATCTATTCACATTAATAATCACAATAAGGTTTTGAAACTAAAAACACCCACATTACTTTTTGTCTAGCCTAGACCCAAAAATTCACTCAAATCTATAATCAAATTCCTAATCTTGATGCCAATAACATGTCAACTCTTTCAATGTTCTCCATATATCATCAACCTAATGATATTCATATAATTTTATACCATTATATTTAATTATTTATCTCAATATAGCAAAGCTTGAATTATAATGTAATAACTATGAAAAGAAAAAAAGCAAAAGACCAACTCGTTCCATCGACAGCTTAGTAGATGACGTGCAGATTGTGGAACCTTACTCCCAAACCAATGATTCATTCTATGTTATCGCAACCCCCTATAATTAGCGTATAATCATTACCTAATCATTACTCACAATGTTCTACCAATATGATATAATTTCCTACAGAATTCAAGTAGCAGCATCTCAATTTCTTTTCCTCAACAAAAATATGGACTAACAACTAACAAACAAACAAAAAAATAAACTAAGGAATGAGAATTATTAACCAAAAGACACATAAACAGAGTGCTTTAATGATTAAACCTAAACAGTGAACAACATTGACTCTTTCTAAAAGTAATAATCACGAAAATTCTTACCTGAAATAGATGCCGCAAGGGTTTCTTTTTTTCTTCTGGGTTTACCAAATTATATCATAAATTGTTAAACCTCAATTAACTTATTCTAAAATATGGGTCATATATGGTATTAAATAAGTTATGGTCTTAGCCCATTAGTCACCAATTAAAATTAATTATTTAAAAATCACCCACCTAAACAATCGTAATTAACAAATAGCTCAAAAACCAAACCAACTCCACCGATTGATCAAAATTGACTCATGCAATTATCAAAAGGGGTAAAATGATAATTTTTATGATAATTTCCAAAAACAATTTTACGGGTCATTACAGAATAACACTTTAAGGATGTAGTTTAAGTTTTGGGTAATAGTTTAAGGATGATTTTGGCTAAAAACACTTTCAGGAGGTCCAATTATTTCTCTGTGTAGGTAAAATCAGGTGGTTAGTTTTTAAAGTTTTGTGTGTCCTATTTAACTTAATTTCTAATCAATTTTTGGTCCATTAAATTTTATTAAAAAAGAAAACAAAAAAAAGGAGAAATTTTGTATTCACGAGAAATTTTTGGTCCATTCAATTTTTTGGTTTGATTTTATATTATTCGATTTGGGTTTTTCAATTTTGAAAAAGTGTAACACAATTCGAATTGAAATAAACTTGATTTTTTTTTCCGATTTGGCTTTTTATCGATTCAGTTATGTCAATAATTAATAACAAATTAAAGTTATAGTTACAATTTGAAAAGGAAAATATACAAGGAGAAAAGTAATAATATTGAATCTCTTAAACATATTTTCTATAAATCGCAAGTAAAACTTAAAAGAGAATACTTAAAAGTATATCAATAATCAATTATAGATGTTTAAACTAAAGCATAATGAAAGATAATAACTAAAAAGACACCAAAGTGGTGAACTTCAACTTAATTCTAAACTTATATAATTAATAATATAAATATAAAAATATATTTTTTATTTTTATTTTTCTAATTCCAAAATCAAACTAATAAATCAACTTACAAACTAAATTCTTAATCTAAAATCAATCCAAATTAAAAATCGATTCAATTTGATTTGATTTTTCGATTTAATCTAAATAATTCACATCTCTATCTACATGCATCTTCTATAAAATCTCAAACTATCGCTATATTCAATGAATTTATTGATATCCCGAAATTAACCCACTATTTTCCGACATAGTCAAATCCTTTTTAACCATATTTATGTGTGGTCTATTTAGTACATATTTGGCTCGTTAATTTTTATGTTCTAATATTCAACTTCTTGCCGACACCTCTTATTAAGCTTTTCTCTCTTTATAATAGGAAAAACAATGCTTTTTTTTTTATTTTCTCCGTCTATATTTATTTTAAGGATCGAACAATAAATAAAATAATAAATTATACTATGAATCTATTTGGCATTGGTATTAAATATTACTTATTTTTATAAGCACTTTTTAAAGATTTTTTCAGAAAAATAGTTTTGAAAAAATAATAATTTGTATTTGGCTAATTCATTTGAAAAGTATTTTTCATATGCAAATTGTGTTTGACTAAAATCTTTTTAAAAATTATTTTTAAGAGTCAGATTATGAAAAATGGCAAGTATTAATTTACTTTTAATACTTAGATTATTTTATAGAGAGAAACTATTTTAAACATCAATTACAAAAATATTAAATTAAAATTTTATTTTTATTAAATTAAAATGTTCATATAGAAATTTTCAATCAATATTATACATTTTATTTGGAGGGCTGAAATCTTTAATTGTTATTTTTTTTTCTTATCTTGCAAAAAAGTTGTTATTAGTTTTTGTCTAATTCTACAAAATAATACGTAAAATAATAAATGAAATAATAATAAACTGAAAATAAAATATCAAATTTATTATATAAAAAAATTATCAACTAAAACTTAACCAAATATATGATATATGTTAATTAATTAGTACGAGATATACTGGTATATATATAGAAGGGATATTTTAGTCTTGAAAAAATAATTTTCTGCTTCTACTTTTTTTAAGAAGCAGACATTTTTAGATTCTTCTCAACAGCAGAAAAATAGCTTATGTTTTCATTTAAAAATAGTTTTACAGGTTTGCCAAACACCTAAATTTTTTTAAAATGTGTTTTTTTTTCTCAAAACAAGTGTTTCTGAGCTCCCAACAGCACTATCAAACATGCTCTATATCGCCCATTAAATATAATAAATTCAATATCTTAAAAAATGTATTGAGAAAATGACTATTGCTTTGTTAATAACAAGAGGATAAATTAGAAACTAAGTGGTAAATTATCTATTGATTTTTAAATTGACATATATTTCTAATATAGAGGATAATTAACCACTATATAACAATAGTTTTAATTTTCATCAACATAACAATAATTTTTTTTCAAAAATATGTAATAATATTTATTTTTAAAAAAAATGGGAATCGTAGTATTAATGACCCACGAGTTACATGAAGGATGGACAATTCATCTTTATACATTTAAAAAAAAACAAAAGGAAAACCACACCAATACTTTTTTAGAACATTTTTTTATTGCAAACAATATATCATTCTTATATAATATGCTGAAGAAGAATTAATTAATTAATACATGAATCTTGAATATAAAATTAATCCCTAGAAAATGTGATTAACAGCACCAGGAAGGTGAGTGTTCATGAAATAATCTTCCCAATTAATGCAACTTGGATCAAAGTTGAGCACATCATCCATCTTGTGTTCTTTCATTGCCATTCTCAATTTCTCAGTATTAGCATCATCAAAGCTGATTAAAAATAAGTTTAGAAATTAGAAGTATAATTTTTGAAATTTATGACTTAAATAAGAGTGTCAAAGGGGTGAGTAGGTTGAGTTTAAACGAATTAAAATTGATTGAGTTAATAAAAAATAAAGGAAAAACTACACAATATGGCAAACATCAACATATATTTAAAACAAATAGCTATAGTTTATTTTTTTTTATGTTATATGGATATAACTATACAATAAATAGCAAAGTTAATTATATATAAATAATCAGGAAAGTTATTAAATATTAAATAGGAAAATTATTATCACAAGGATAATTAATTATGTCTAGACACATTTTATGTGATCAGTTTTTCAATTTTATCCTCATTAATACTTTCTCTTTCATCAATATTCCTATATCACATGTTCTCAATATTTGCCTCCCATATTCCTTCCAATTTAAGATCTTTTGATGATTCTAGGAGCAATTTTTGTGATTTGAATTCATCGAGTATCTTTTAATTGATTTTTTTTTCTTTTTTATGAAGATTAAATTGGTATTCATCTATTTTTTTATAGGGGTTCAATTGAAGAATTATTTTATTTTCTCCATTGCAATGGTTATAGTTATAAAAAAAAAAAGTAGTAGAGGAAGAACATGAGCAAAACGAGATTGAGGTTTGTGTGATTGTGATTTGAATTCATCAAGTATCTTTTAATTGATTTTTTCTCTTTTTTTTTATGAAGATTATATTTGTATCTATCTATATTTTCATCTATTTTTATATATAGGGTTCAATTGAAGAATTGTTTTTCTTTCTCCATTACAATGGTTATAGTTATACAAAAAAAATAGTAAAGGAAGAACACGAGCAAAAAGAGATTGGGATTTGTGTGATTGTCAAATTTGTATATAGTAGAATACTTATATACATAGATACTTGTATTGTAATATTAACACAAGTTGAAATGGTGATTTGTGCATACAAGTATATCTGGATACATAAGTAATCTATCCAATTTAGAAGATTGATTAGGCAATACAAGGATAATTGAATACATTAATCCTATATTTTTTATAAACAAATACATGAGTTAACACCAAACCTCTAGTATTACAGAAAAAACTTGACCAAAAAGAGATTGACGTTTGTTGGATTTATCAATTTTTTTATACAAGCGAATACTTACACACTTTGATACCTACACATTTTATTATTTTCCATTTTTTATTGTTTCTATGTTGTCCAATGTACCCATCTTTTGTTTAACAACAATGTATATATATATACTATATTGTATTCATTTTTTTTAATAACAACAATGTATTCATTTTTCAAATTGTCATGTTCATATGTTAATTGTCATACTTTACCTTGCTTGATATATTAATACATTAAGTTTTTATAAATACTTGTATCCTTGATATGTTAATACTTTAAGTCTTATAAATAGAGATACCAATTTGAATTCAAAGTATTCATATGCTACACAATTATACATGTTCCTTATTTAGTTCATTGTAATTAAAACTGTATTAGTGTATAAATAGAAAAATAAAAATATATAAAGAAATACAACTAGAAAAAGATATAAATTGTAGTCATTTTTTATAAATACCATACTTATAGCTATTGAACTTCAATAACCCTATAAATATAGTTATTTTTGTAAGTTGCTCAAATAATAAGTCTTGACCTGCTAAAATGTCATTTGGGCTAATATTTGCCCAATATTTATTAGGTTAACATGGGCTAAATATTGGGTGACAATCCAACTTGATCAATCTTACCAAAAAAAAAAAAATTATATAGTTTTTCATGATTCAATTTGGGCTATATATTTAAATTAAATAAACTCAACTTTTAGATGGGTTGAATCGGGCAGGCCAAGACAAACTTAGTTAACAAATGGATGGGCTATTAATCAGCCCAAACTTAAAGCATGCTATGTTGGGCCTCATCATATTTTCATTAGTTTTTGGAGAAATTACCTTATTAGATATGTATTCATACTATATTTTATAATTCTACTTATATTTTTAAATAGTTGTGTATCGTATCATTAATTAAGAGTTTATTGTCATATATTAAGAAAGATACACTTAGATACATTGATTTTTGCTATTAGATATGTTTAAATAGGGAGAGGTGGGCGAGATGGAGAGGGGGCGAGTGAGATAGTCATGTATCTCAGATACATATAAATCATACTAGATACATTATATGTATGTAACTGGTGTAATTCTCATTATCTGAGATACTAGATACAAAAGGAGAGTGGCGTTTGGGATAAGAGGGAAGCAAGCGAGATTTGTTATGTATCTAGATACTTGCAAATCCACTTGAATATGATGTGTGTAGAATAAATTACACCTAATTTTGACATCATGTATCCAAAGATTCATGTATATGGAATTATTTGGACGCACTAAAATCTGGTAAGATCCGTAATATTGCAAACTAGATAGTATTTAAGTAATTAACTCCTAAACTAGTGGAATTTTCGTAAATTTTCCTTAGTTTTTTCACTCCTAGTCTTAAATATTGCATCTCATTTGCATTGCTAAATTTTTTTTTGAAATTCATGACCTTAAACATATGGAACACTAAACATATATCATAATATTTGTGTAATTATAAAAGTTTCTCATTCAGATCAAATAAAAAAATAATGTTTCCAAGTATAGAATCATATCATTTCTTTTAAACAAATTAAAAAATAAAAGTAAGTGTGTCACATATACTGAAACAAAAAAAATAAAAGGTATTTAAAAAAATAAAAATAAAGATTGACATACCTTCCATGGAAAAGCAAGTAAGGTTTGTATAGTTCAGATAAACGTATAGCCATATCAATCTTCCTTTTCAAATCCTTATAGGTTTTGTCTAAACGATGCCATAATAATACATTTGCCAACTCTACTATCTACAAACATATGAAATTAATTAAGCACAATTAGTATCATTGTAAATAGTAACTCCATTAATTAATTATTAACTATAAACTCATACATATTGGTCAACTTTATGAAATAATCATTTTTTAGCTTTAATAATTATATTGACAAATAGTCATTGTCCTAGAATTTCAAATTGCACAAGTGAAACTCTAGGACATTGGCTATTTTTTTAAAAGGCAGGATCGAAAGAGTAGTTCGATGGACATTATTTATATATGCATTTGCTTATTATGCCCCTAGCTCGACTATTAAAGTATTGTCTATTATGACTTAGATACTTTTCAAAAAAGAATAGGGCAGCGTTGGAAGTGGCTCATGAGTGCTATTTATAGTGAATTCACTTTTTTATGACCTCTAACTTTTTTATCTCATTTCCATATGAGATTTGCATAAAACAAATTTCACAACGAATCTTATTTGTATCAAGATGAAAAATATTACTATGCTAAAAAAAACAAACCTTTAATAATGGCCAATAATAGGTTGAGATGTATTTTTGAAAGCTATCCATGCTACTAAATAGTGTAGCCTTCCCCACTTTGATGATGTTTCCATTTTTGTTCATCCATGGATTTTTTGTGAAGTAATGAAATAAAAACGATTGAATATCTAAAGATTTTATGGGATTTATTTTCGAAGAACTTATATGATATATTAATTCTTGAGAAGGATAATGTTGATCATTTCCAATATGTGTTATAATTGAGGAAAGTATTGAGTTCACCACCATATCACCTGGAATCTGTAATTGAAGAAGTTGAAAATTAGGAAGATATATAACTTCACACACGCATATATATAAATAAATTGAAACGAAGAGAGGAGATACCATGTCAAGTATTGTATTTGGGTCACCAAAGCAAAAATTCAGTACTCCTTTACCATATCCTAAAATAAATGAATCCACAGTTCTGCAATTGCAAAATTGTATACATAAATGTTGTACTTTATTTTAATAATGTGTATTTCAGAATTTTGAATTTATGAATTCTGGTGATTTACTTACTTCACTCCTTCAATCCATCCCGGAAATGGCTCTTTATAAGTGCTAGTAATAATCGTTGGACGTATTATAACAAGTCGTAGATCTTCCTTATAGTGTCCTAAAAGCATTTCTCCCATTGCCTTTGTGAAGGAATATGTGTTTGGCCACCCATGCAAATTTGCCCTAAAACATCAAACATAAGACATATATATAACATGTTAAAATATACTGATAGCGTAATATTTATTTATATTACTCCATAAGTTAAATCATCCAACCTTTGAATGCCTAGATCTCTCATGGCTATTGTCACTTCCTTTGTAGTCAAGTTTTGATCTTCAAGTTCTTTGAGTTTTTCCTCTATCACTTTCCTCTCCACATCAATCTCTAATTTTGTGTTTTTGTTGAGTGTTTCTCCCAAAGCAAATGATTTTTCTGGTATTACTCCTTCACCTTCCCCACAAACATATGCTACATTGCATGTGACAGACAACGTTTATATGAAGATATTTGACTGAATATAAAATTTGTAAGATGTACATAATCAAAATACTCTTAGAACTTGTTGTAAATTATTAAAAAGAAGTTTGTAAGATTTAAAAACTAACCAGTGGATACATGGACAAGAATTTTCACATTTGCACATTTTTTAGCAAACTTGAGGACATTGAAGGCACCTAGAACATTAATATTCATTGCAATATCATATCTACAAGGGGAAAAAAATAGTTAATAACATAGTGAAATAAACCAATTAATTAATGGTTTGAATTAAAATTAAATACATTAATCATATGAAAATATACCTCTCATCAAATCTAGTAGTTGCTGCTGAGTTTATAATTATGTCAATTTCTTTAAACATCTCTGAATTTTCAATTCCAAAATCCTCTAATGAAATGTCACCAACAATTGGAAATACTTTCTCTTTTATAAGAGAATTTAGGTTATTTGCACCTATTTTTTCTCTTAGAACACTAAACAATTCAGTCTGCATAACCTGTGTGAAAACTCACAAAATATTCCGTCAAGATTTAAAGAAATAAGACGCACAAAGAAGTTAGGAGAATTCAACATCTATTTATTTACATTAAAAAAAAATAAGACATTTTATATAAGTAGGGGTCTTTTCATTTTCTGATTAAGAGAATTAATATAATTAAGACATTATATCCCTCATATTTTTCACGTGATTAATTTTTTAAATGTTAATTAATCCACAAGTGGGATATATCTAGGTCTAAACCCTACCATAATAATGATGTTTTCTTTGTGTATAACATAATTAAGGCATTATGTCCCTCATCTCCATGTGTTTAGTTTTTGGACGTACGTTAATTGAAAGGTTGGATTTTAGGTTTAAACCCCACATAGTAATGATCTTAGTTTTTTTTTTAATATAATAAAAAATAGGTTTTGAATAAAAATTAGAGACATCGATTATAATCACAAAATATGAAGAATGTTTTTGTATAAAATATTCCTTAATAGTATTATTGCTCTCTCTCCACCCCCTATCAATTTCTTCTTTATCTTATCTTTTTTTCTTATGAAATTTGTATGTCTCCCCAAGGGGCCATATAGAGTCCACCAGGTGCTCGAACACTTCACCTAAAGAACAAATGATCTAACTGGTTCGTTGGTTTTGGGTGGGTTTTTTAGTTGAGCTCAAATTCGAACAAAACCTTAAAATTCTAGATTCGTCATTGGACCTGTCCCCCAAACCCCCAAACAAATCTACATACTTATTGAATAAAAGAGAATTGTACGCACAAAGGCATAGATTTATATTTAGATTTAATCACCAGTGATGCTTCTTTAGTCTTCCTAATAGCCACCTCTAGATCAAGAGGAGGTTTTAGTCTTAAAATTGATTTTTTCTCTATAAATTTGAACTGATCAAGCTCTAAAAATAAGTATCAGATGTCAAATGAAAAAACAAAACACTCAAATAAACTAAGCAATGTATCGAATAATTAAATCAAATAAATAGTATGCATGCTTTACCTCTTCATTAAAACGTTTTCTGGCAGATTTTGTGTCTGAAGCTCTTACTAGAAGAAATAATTTTCTCACATTTGGTTGAATTCGAAGTATCTTCTCTACGAGAACTACATATTACCAAAACAAATTAAATTAGGGATATATATATAATTAAGAATATTTATATTTGGTGAATTTAATTTATATACATAGACAATTTAAATTCATTTACACTCTCAACACATCTTTTAAAATTTATAATAGATGATAGTTATTATTTTAAATCAGACAAGTAACTAATGTCAATCAAAAGATTAACATATAATTATCTAATAAATGATCCGATTATATAAATATTCTTAATTACGTCATCATTGCATCTAACTTATAGTCTGTTTGGGTTAAGCTCCTGAGAGTTCGAAGTTTTTTTAGAATTTTTTTTTAAAGAACACTTATTTTAGAGAATGAAGATTTTTGTGAAGATATAAGTGATTTTAATTAGCAACATAAATTGTTGTTTTTTCAACTTTTTAAACAGAGAGTCAAAACAGTAGAATCTAATTTTGCAAAAATAAGTACTTTTGATTATTTTTTAGGACAATATTACCATATCAAAAATGCATATTTATCAAATTAAAATTAGAATTAACTTTATTTTTAGGTATTTGACACTAAAAAATGCTCTTAAAAAATATTGATCAAACACAAATTACTAACAAAAATATTTTTCAAATAATTTAGTCAAAAATAAATTGTTAATCTTTCAAAACACTTTTCTAATAAGCACTTTTGATAAGAAGTAAATTTCTCAAAATAAGTTGATTTCAATAGTTTGACAATATTATATATTATATATATATATATATATATATATATATATATATAGAGAGAGAGAGAGAGAGAGAGAGACAGGGGAGAGGCGAGCTAGAGAGAAAGTGTACTCTTTGCAAGAAATCCGGTGGCACCAGTAATGAAAATAGTCTTGCCTTCTAGAAAAGGTTCCATGAGGATAATAAAAAATTAAGGGGTAAAAACACTTATTTATGAGATGATTAATATCTAATTAATCTCGTGTAAACTTATAAACAAAAAGAGTGATATATTGAAAATGAGAGTATTTGATTTATGAAACTCATGGACTCATCTCCCAATGTATATATAGGCAAAAAATAAATGATTGAAAGAAGGTTCACATTATTCAACATAGTTTGATTTCAACTCTTCACCTAATATTTAGGTCATTCATTTACCTTAAGTCAAGGGAAATAAAAGAATAGAGCGAAAGCAAACACTTAAACTCTTATTAAAAAGTAACATTTATGACCTTATAATTACAAGAAAAAGAACACTAATTGATTTTGTGATATCATTCTCCAATCAAAGATCTTGATCTAAAAAGTTCCATACATACTTTGTATGACATCCAAACCTCTCATTCTTTAGTTTTTGGTATTTTATATTTTTTCATTGATTAAAATTCAAGAAGGGAGTTTAAGTTATATATATATCGTCAATGCTATCTGATTATTCAAAAAATAACTATAGGTAAATCTTCTTAAATTGTGAGAGTTACATTTTTAAAAATAAGACTGTCTCTAATTACTTGTCCACTTTTGAATTGTCACACCTATTAAGAAATCAATTAATGACATAGTGAGTTTTATCATTTTATCCCTATTAATTATAAAGTGGATGAAAAGTTCTGCATTTTTAAAAGTAATTAGTCATTTAATTGAGGGTATAATAGGTCAAAATATTGTCCTTTCTTAATTTGTCAAAATGGATAAGTAATTAGGGACAACTATAAAAGGAAAAGTGGACTAGTAATTAGGAACAGAGGGAGTAGATTATTTGTTACCATCTTTTTTTAAACTAGAAGTTGATGCAAGCAGTTTCGTCGAATCAATGTTCAAATTTTGTATTTATATTAAAATATGTGCAAAATACAATTTATAGGATTCAATTACTAATTCCCTTATATTATCATTTTGAAATTTAATCAAAATTCATAAAGTTCAAATCATGATTTAACCGATCAATGGGAATCGACACATCACTGTTTGCGGGAGCAGTAGAGAGATCAATATGATGTCTGCTGACTTAAGGAAGTTGACTGACCTACCGAAACAGTTGGAGGCGGCTGAGCACATCCCATCCCACAAGAGTCAAGCCCTTCAAGGGGTTAAACGTGCCATATATGGATTTTTAGTGGACCCAAAAAATAAATCTTGCGGTAAGATTTTATCCGTATAAATGACCTATTGATATGAATTATTTGACACCGTACATGCATAAAACTCATTTGAATAAGATTATCTTAAATTGGTAGAGATTCCCTGTATTTGTTGGTCATGTGGAAAACATTTATTTTTTTGGTCAATTAGTAGAATTTATTTGTGAACACAAGATATATTGATTGATCCTGTTTGGTATGATTTTGGTAACTCATATAGCAAACATAAATAACTTGTTTTTTGGGCATATAAGTTTATATGTTTGCATTATAAAGAATATATGTAATACTTCGTATTTTTAAAGAGTTTATGTCTCGCTAGATATAAATTTTATTTTTAACAAAAAGAGATTGCTCGAATAATAAACTTAAACCATATATAATATATATAGTCGTAGAATCAAACCAATCACCTTCTCTAAGTACAAAATTGTATTCTATATCTAAGAGTGTCCTCCAATATAAAGGTATTTTTACATAAATTAAATTTAATTATATCCTAATATAGATATCAAACACCTATTCTCAATATGATTTTTTTAAACATAATTTCAATTTAATTATATCTCAATACAAATATCGAACATTATCTAATCAGAAAACAAAATATAAGCGTGGACCTTGATACACCGCCTAAAAGTTGGATAGAAAGTTGATAACCAATAGTATTAATTTAGCCAAAAGTTTGGTCATATTTAGATTTTTGACCCACTCCATTTTGTCTTGTAACAAGCCTGTGTGTCACCAACGAGGACGGTAGTAGAGTGGTAAATACTCTTTTATTCTTAATTAGAGGTTTTGGGAGATTGGTTCGAGTTTCCTTTGATACGGAGTCACCTTTGTTAGGGAGCACTTTACCCCTTAATATGAAATTTTTCTATACAAATTCATATTTAATTGGATTTTAATATGAACATTGAACACCGAACGAAAAATAAAAAAAATAAAAAAGGTAACATGCCCATGTGTCAGGAGGTCCAATTATTTATTTGTGTAGGTAAAATCATGTGAGTTTTTAAAGTTTTGTGTGTCCCATTTAATTTTATTTCTTATCAATTTTTGGTCCATTAAGCTTTATTAAAGAAGAAAACAAAAAAATAAGAGAAATTTTGTATATAGTTATAGTTTTTTCTTTAATTAGAAAATTTAGCGAAATTTTGTTTCTACAAATGTAGTAATATTATGATTTCAAAACAAAGCGGAATAATTGTATTCGTGCATGTAATAATACCCTATAATGGAATACATAATATCTGCGTACATAATAATAGTAAAATATATTGTATTACGTGTTATTAATAAGTGTATTTGCATGTTTATATATATATATATATATATATATATATATATATATATATATATATATATATATATATATATATTGTTTAATTGTATTTAGAGGATGATTATTATATCTACGCGTAGGGGTGTGCATTTGTTTTTTTAGTTTGATTTTGTCTTATTCTGTTTGGATTTTTCAATTTTCGATTTTGAAAAAGTGTAGCACAATCCGAATAGAAATATATTTAATTTTTTTTTCAATTTGGCTATGTCAATAATTAATAACATAATTAAAGTTATATTTGCAATTTGAAAAAGAAAAATATACAATGAGAAGTAATAATATTGAATCTCTTAAATATACTTTCTAATTTAAATTGCAAGTAAAACTTAAAACACAATACTTAAAATTATATCAATTATAGATGTCCAAACACAAAATATAAACTAAATCATAATGAAAGACAATAAGTAAAAAGGAACCAAAGTGGTGAACTCCAACTTAATTCTAAACCTAAATTTTATATAATTAATAATATATATAAAAAATATTTTTTTATTTTTATTTTCTAATTCCGAAACCAAACTAATAAATCAAACTACAAACTAAATTCTTAATCCAAAATCAATCCAAATTAAAAGTCGATTCAATTTCATTTAATTTTTCAATTTAATCTCAATAGTTCACACCCCAATTTACATGTATGTGCTATAAAATCTCAAACTATCACTATATTCAATTAATCACATTGGACCATAATAGATAACTCATTACCATCCGCCTCAACCAACTATAATAACAAATAATAGTAACATAATATAAAACAAAAATCACTAAAAATACTTATAAATCTCACTACGAAAATTTTTTAATAAAAATTGCAGTTGAATCGTATAAATTAAAAACAACAAAAATATTTCAGCAAAGAGCATGTATGATAAAATCCATCAATTTTAGGTAACCCGCCATTTAACAACATTTATGTGTGGTCAATTTAGTTCATATTTGGCTTGTTTATTTTTATGTTCTAATATTCAACTTTCTTGCCGACACCTCTCATTAATTTTTTCCCTCTATATTATAAGAAAAAATATTTTATTTTATTTTCACAATCTAATCTTTATTTTAAGGATCGAACAATAAATAAAATAATAAATTATACTATATATATCACCCTTTAAATTATTAAATATAATAAATTCAATATCTTAAAAATTATTGAGAAAATGACTATTATTTAGTTAATAATAAGGGTAAATTAAAAATTAAGTGATAAATTATAGGGCAAATTACAGAAATCGCATACTTTTAAGGCAAAATTATAATCTATCCCTTAAAAGTTTATAATTACAGAAATCCCTCAAACGGATACAATAATATAAGCGCTGATACATTAATCTGATGCACGAGATACATTAATCGTTAAGTAAGATACATTACATTTTATACATGATACACTAATCTGATGTACATTTTATACATGATACACTAATATTATGCGCGAGATACAATAATATAAGCGCTGATACATTAATCTTATGCGCGAAAATGAGGATTTTTGAAAATTTGTAAAACTTATAGGGGATAATGATAATAAGTAATCTAACATGTGAGATTTTCGTATTTTTTCCCCTAAATTAGGCATATATTGATTTTTAAAATTGAACTAGTAAAAATGGACATATATTTCTAATATAGAAGACAAGTAAAGATTAACGGAGAAAGCTTTAACTTACATTTCATTCATATAGATACATGCTCCCCGTCTCAAATTATCTGCTATTATTCTTTTTACATGTCACTAACATAATGAATCATTAATTAAGAGAGGTTTTAACTATGTTACCCATTATTTGGTATTTGAACACTCATAACATCATTTTTATTTTTATTTTTAAAAACATTTTCCATGAAACACATGTGAGAATTGAAATTAAACTAAGATGCAACTTCAAATGGGAAAAAAATAATAATAGGAAAATAGGAATCAGGCCATGGGCTAGCTTCAAAGAGGAAACGAGATCTATTATTTGCATTTATTTTATTAATATGTAATACATACAAAAAGTTTGAATCAAAATTACTGAATAATAATAATATTATAGAATAAAGGCATAAGTGTCAAACACTCGATACAGATAAATATTTACGAATAAGTCGAAACACTCGATAAAGATAAATGTAAAAATTAGGCAAATCACATAGTATAAGAAGGAAATTACTTCCTATCCCTACTCTTTCATTAATTACCAAAAATCCCTTTTTTAGTGTATTTCGGATACATAATATAGCAGTGCAGATACTTTAATTAATAAAGGGCGGATACTTAAATTATTAAGTTGTTGGCACGGATACTTTTATTAATAACGGGCGGATACTTAAATTAATGGGTGGATGCATAATATAGCAGCGCGGATACTTTAATTAATAACGGGCGGATACTTAAACTAATAAAGTATCCGGTTAAGTTGAATTGGGGGAAAATAAGGGATTTTTGTATTTTAGTAAAAAAGTAGGGAAATATTGAGAATAGGTAAAGTAATGTTGTGTACTT